TTTGTATATAGTTGAATTCTTGCCGAGAATTGTAATCTTTATGAAAATAATTTAATTCTCGAAAGGAATTTTATTAATTTCTTTTGAAGTAATTGAATTGCAGAGAAAAATTTCATTTTTTGTGAAAAAAATTGAATTTTTGCTATGAATTTTATAAAAAACATTTTTAAATAATTAAATCTTTGATGAACAATTTTATTACTCTTGAATAAAATTGAATTGAGGCCGAGAATTGTATTATTTTTTTTAAATAATTGAATTCTTGCAAAAAATTTTATGTTTTATGAAAATAATTGAATTTCTGCAATTATTTGCAACTTTTTAAAAATTTAATTTTCTTAGTGTTTTTAACTATAGAATTCTTTTATAAATCCATTAATTATAATAATTAATTGAATACTTATATCCTATTAAAAATTTAACGAATTTCAGAAGAATTTGAATTATTAATAAAAATTTCTGAATTTTCCCTGATTTCCCTGACCTGTGATAACCCTGATGTAATTTTCGACTCTTTTCATACTTTTTCAATCGACTGAATTATTTTTTGCCTTTTTTGTCCTAAAGTCGATCCAATACCTGAAATTAGAAGTTCACTGGCAAAAAAAATCGTTTTTTGTATAAAAAAAGAAAAAGATAATGTGAGATAGTAAAGGTTGATAAAAATCCAAAACAAAATTAGTTAGATAATACAAAACTTTAATAAATGTAAAAAATGTATACAACTCTCGAGTGTCTAACTCTAGATGTTTAAAAAAAAATTTATTCTATCTAATCAATTTTTAATACTCGACTATTTACAACTCATAGCCTAAATCAACAGACTACTGATATATATATATATACTAAAAAAAACCGATTGCACTAATCCTTACAAAACTTTTTTTTTTCTTCTAAAAAAAGAAAAGAATAATTAAAAGTCGTCGATGGCTGTTTATCGTCGCACAATTCCTGATGACGTATTTTTTTTAACAATTTTTCCAGAATCGTAAATATTCAAAATCTGAATTTTCAATTTGACTCCAACCACATTCAGCGTTTTTAGAGTCTATCTCAAGTTTAGAGTCTGGAAAATGCGTAGAAAACAACTTTTAAATAATTTAATCCTAGACTGTATAAAAATTCCTTTTTTTTTGGAACAAACAACAGTTTGTTTTTTATATAAAAAATTTGTTTGTATGTACAATTTTTAAAAAATAATTACTGACCTATTTACATTGTTAGCTCTATTCAATTATATTATATAAGTCGTGAAATTGCGAAATACAAGCGCTTTCTGAAAAATAAATAAAATCGAAAATCGATGCAGCAAAATTTCCCTGTCTATTAAAAATGAAATTAAAAATTAAAAATTACTGGACAGTTATTTCTTTCAATTAAAAAATTGCTGGACAATTATTTCTTTCTATTAAAAAAATGCTGGACAATTATCACTTTTTATTAAAAAATAATTTCTTTCTATTAAAAATTGCTGGATAATTATTTCCTTCTTTAAAAAAAAATGCTGAACAATTATCACTTTTTTTTAAAAAATTATTTCTTTCAATTAAAAAATTGCTGGATAATTATTTCTTTCTATTAAAAAAAATACTGGACAATAATTATCTCTTTTGTATTATAAACAAAAAAAAAAATTGTGGATAATTAATATTAATTATACAGAAAAATATAATTAAGACCCTAAAAATACTATTTCCAAAAACGAACATATAATGGAAAATAAGGGAAATTCGATTGTCACTGATTTGATTTATCTCCGGAAATCAAAAATGGAATAAAATAAATCTTGACACAATTGTGGAAAAAAAAATGTCAATTAAGATAATATCGATTCCAAAAATAATACTTGGTCGTCATCATCAATATTATTTGATTACTATTAGAAATTATAATTAATAGAAAAATAATTGGTCATTGTAATTATAATTATAATTAATAATAGAGTGATAAATATTATGTTTATAAAGACATACACGCAATGTTCACACGCAATCCCAAGCCGTGTTCCAACTCACGATTTCAAAATTTTATAAATTTCTATTTATAAAAAATGAAAACCCGTTTCCAAGTGTCAAGGTTCAGAGGGAAAAAGAAAAGTTCTCTTTAAATATTTTCTTTTGTCCCAAGAAATCACAATCGTCGCGGTCAATTCAATTTTAATTAAAATTGCTTTTACTTTTTTTTTTGCAAAAGTATTTCTTTTATTTTAATAAATTTGCAAAAATATTTGCAAAATTATTTCTTTAATTTTAATAAATTCGCAAAAGTATTTGCAAAATTATTTCTTTAGTTTTAATAAATTTGCAAAAGTATTTGTAAAATTATTTCTTTAATTTTAATAAATTGTTAAATAATTTATTTATTCAAATAAATGTATTTTTAATTAAAAAAAACATGTTTTTTTTAATAATTTTTTTAAGAATAATAAGAAAGAAAGAAAAGCGCGAACCGCAAGTTGGAAAGCGGATCTTGGTTATTTTTTCGTTTCCCTTAAATTTCATGGCTATTAATGGCGTTTTCGCAGGTACTTTGGTAATTCAGCAAAAGCTGGACATAATTTGCATAAGATTTGTTTTTTTTTCTCGATACAAAATAAATATTCGATGGCGCATTTTCTTTGTAAAAAATAGCTTGGAAATTTTTTGACATTAACTATACAATTTTTAAGAAACAAAAATCAAAAAGTTTGAAATTTGTAAGAGAAAAATTGTCCACTTGATTCTCAAAAGAAAAAAAAATCGTTTTACATTTAAAGTGAAAATCGAAAAGTTCATTTTTAACGAATCATTCTAATATTACTTTATTTTTCAATGCGAGAATCAAGAGATTTCTCTCTTACATTACTTTTTGTACTCTGCAGAAAATTAGAAAACTAAATTATGTAAATGAACCTTCTGTACTTTTAGATTCAATTTCCACTCTTCGTTTTTTTTCTATGTGAAATTATTTGATTTTTAATTGTCAAAAAATAAATCAAATTCTAGAAATTTTCTTTTACTAATGAAAGTGAAAAATATTCTGAAGATTTCCCTTCTCTTTTTTTTTAAATTAAAAATAAAATTATTATTCAAAAATTTATTATTTGATTATTCTGGAAATTATTTTCGAAATTTTCCCCGGGACATTTCACTGAGAAATAAAAATATACAAAGGTATTTATTACCTAGAATAAACGGGGTTGCCATAGATCAGAGGAATCAGGAAAAAGTCAGAGATTTATATTAAAAGTTCTGGAGAAAATTAAATTTTTACAATTCATAAGAAATTCTAGTCAAAATTTCAATTATCTTTCCAAAAAAAAAAAAATTATAAACATTACAATTCTACGCAAGAATTCAATTATTTTCAAAAATAATGAAATTTTTCTCGGAGATTCAATTATTTAACAAAAATTAATAAAATTCTTGTTGAGAATTCAATTATTTTCATATAAAGAATAAAATTAATTTAAGAATTCAATTATTTAAAAAAAATTTTCATAAAATTCTTCACAAACATTCAATTATTTTACAAAAAATAATAAAATTGTTCATCAAAAATTCAATTATTTCAAAATTTGTGTATAAAATTCTTCGCAAGAATTCAATTATTTTCACCAATAATAAAATTTTTCTCGGAAATTCAATTAATTAAAAAAAATTAAATAAAATTCTTTTTGAAAATTCAACTATTTTCATAAAAAATAAAATTCATTTCAAGCATTCAATTATTTTTAAAGTTTTTTAATTAAATTATTGCCAAGAATTCAATTTTATCAAAAAATAATAAACTTGTTAACCAAAAATTCAATTATTTAAAAAATTGTGTATAAAATTCTTCGCAAAAATTCAATTATTTTCACAAATAATAAAATTTCTCTCCGGAATTCAATTATTTAAAAAAAATTAATTAAAATTCTTTTCAAGAATTAAATTATTTCCATAAAGAATAAAATGAAAGTTTTTTAATTCTAATTCTGATGAAATTTCTTAAACTTATTTACAAATGTAATGTTTATTTAATTATTAATTACGTAATTATTAAAAATAATAGATTTGTAGAAGAATTTCTGTTGAAAACTCTAAAAAATAATTGAATTTTGGAGTTAAAAATAACTGAGTTTTAAACAGTTTAAAATTAAAAACTTTGAGAATTTAAATATTTCATACTTTTAATTAACAATTCTTTCAAAATAAATTTTTTTAAAAATTGTATTTTAAATATTTTTATAATTAGTTGGATTTTTTATTTTTTTACATTTAATTATTTTCAATATTTTCAATAAAATTCTACGCAGAAAATCATTTATTTTCAATATTTTTAATAAGATTCTAGTCAAAAATTCAATTATCTTTATGAAAAATAAAATTCTTTGCAAAAAGTCAATTATTTTCAAAAATTTAAATAAAATTCTTGTCAAGAATTCAATTATCTTCATAAGTAATTCAATTCTTCGCAAAAATTCAATTATTTTAAAAAATTTAATTAAAATTTATCGAAAGAATTCAATTATTTAAAAATTTGTTGATAAAATTCTTTATGACAATTTAATTCTGAGAAAAATTTAATTATTCAATAAATTATTTATTTTTGTATTTAAATAATTGAATAATTCTCGTAGAATTTTCTAATAAAAATTGATTTGAAAATAAATTTCGATTAAAATTTGAGATAATAATTGAATATTTAAAGCATTATTGCTTGATTTTTTTAAAAATAATTGAATTTTGAAAATTGAATTTTTAAACTTTTTGAAAAATTGAGTTTTTTATACTTTTAACTAACAATTAAGTAGAATTAATTTTTTAAAAGCAGTTAAATTAAATTTGTTTTGAAATTACTTGAAGTTTTTTGTTTTCTAATATATATTTAATTGAAAAATTTCCGAATAATCGAAAATTCTCAAAGAACTTTTTAAAAAATTATTAAAAAATTATTAAAAATAATTGATTTTGATTTTTAAAGAATAATTTTAGTTAAAAATTCTAGAAAATAGTAATTTAATTGAAAATGATGAAAATAATTTTGAAGAAGTTACAGTAACAATATTCTTATAATAGAAAATAATGATTTTATCATTGGGTCATCTTTAATTATTTTTGTGGCAACCCTGTTAATAGATTTGTTCTAAGTCGTAAATTCTTAAAACTGGAAATCGATTTTTAAATTTAAGTATTGAAATCAAATAAAGCCTATTAGGTTACTGAAAATATAAATCGACACTCTCATTTAATTAATGTTGAAATTTAATTAAAAGTATTGAGCTTTAGTTAAATAGTATCGAAGATAGAATATTTTAAAGTCCATTGGATTTCCGTTTCCAGATATATTTTCACGTCGATGCAAAAAAAAGAGATATTTTTCACTTTCATAGTTATTCAAGTTAAAAAATTTCTACTCAACAACCCAGAAAGCAATTGATTTATTTTCCGCAATTAAAAATCAATTCAAAATTTTCTAATTCAGTCGCCTTGGTAAAAGTTAATGACAATAAAAAGAGTATTCTTTCTTTCGGCTGTTTTTTCATTATCAAAATAGAAGAAGAAGAAGAAGAAGAACGTCGAGTCGGAACACGGCCGAGGTCCTCTCACTTCCTGAACACCACACCATCAGTCCTCAAGAGCCACTCACCTGCAGCCCTCGTTGTTGTTGTTGCTGTAGTTGTTGTTGTCGTTTCCTGCAAATCATTCTTGCTCGGAATTCTTTTATGCTCATCTGACAAAGTTCTCGTGGACGTTGTTGTTGTCATCGTCGTTGACGTCGTGGTGGTCATCATTGTCGTTATTGTCGACGTCGTCCTCGGTGACGATTCTCGGCCTTCGCGGCCTGTAGATACTCGATCGTTGATAGGCAACCCTCGCCCCGAATCCGCCATCGAAGTGCGCTGCTGTTCCTGGAGTAAGCAAGCGCTCGACAGCAGGTCCCACTGACGGAGCTTTTCTCGGTCGAGTTCGAACGATGTCGCCGTGCGACTCGACCCACTCGGGGGAAGGTTGCCTTCCACTAAAAAATGCTTCTCAAGAGTACTCGGCTTCCTGTACGCCTCATTCTTCGAGTCCCAAACATAACCACCTGCTCCTATTCTGTCCATAGCCAGCGTCTCATAAGCGTCGTCATTCGCATTCTGATCCGAATTCCCGTTCTCCAAATTCGGAGGGAAATCTTCCAAAATCTGACTCGACGTTTGGCTTTCACTTTGGCTTTCATTGGATCTTCGTTTCACTCTCGATCGATCGTCAGATATCACACTGTCGTTCACGTAAGTCGCTCCTCTGGTGATTTTCCCCCTGGACTTCGAATCAGTTCTGGCTGGTCTTGGCGGAGTGTCAAGATTGTCCAAGGACCTCGCGTGCCGTAGACTTACTCTCCTTAGACTCTCCCTCCAGAGCGAGTCCTGTTCCCACGGATCTTCACCGTCGAACCTCTGATTCTCGATTCTGCGCTCACTTTCGCTGCTTCGTTCCGCATTTCTGTTTCTAGGCAAACTGCTCGTATTTCGCACACTTTCCGCATTTGTACTTTCGGTTCGGATCCTATTAGCCCTGTTTCGCTCCTCGACCAAATTCTGTAGTCCCACATCGTCTAGGAGTCCCTCCAAAGATCTCGACCGTCTATGTGAAGTTGTCACTACAGGAAATTCCTGCGCCTCCAATTGCTGACTTCCAGATTTATCCCTTAGACCCTGAGGATACAAGTTCCGCGCATTAACATCCGGGAGCGCGATATCGGGCAATGGATCCGTAGACTTAACCCTTCGGAGAGTATCAGCTTCGTAAAAGTTCCTCTTATCGACAAGTCCCGCTTTGTCCTCAGCTAGAAGTTGAGACGTTTTTCTCAGTTCAGCCGCGATTCTCCTAGCCTCATCAATATCGTCCACCTGGATCTGCCTTGGCATTTGGCGTGCGATCGGATTCACCATCCGTCCAATGTCGTTCCTCTTATTAATCGCCGTGTCCCCTCGTTGATTGTTCAGCTGCGGCAGTCTCGAAGTGTGAAACAACCTCGGTTGCGCCTCAGCTGCACTTCCCGTCTGAAGATCCGAATAGTAATAAGGCGCGTGATCCGTAGAAGCCAAATACGAAATCTGCGGCGACGTCTTCGAGTCCTGACTCGACGACGATCGGTGATTTGGCGACAAAGAGTACCGCGCCGAATCTTGACTCACCGATCGGGAATGGTGCGTTGAAATCTCCTGTCTGGTGTCAATCGGAGATATTTGCTGCGGTCGCGAGTAACTAGAATCTCTAGAGTGAATTGAAATTCCGGATACGATTTCCGGACTCTCCAGAATTGCCGGATCGGACCGAACTGCTGGCGAACCTCTAAGAGGCGAGAAACTGGTCACGTTTTCATAGTGAGCGTCTCCGGTGAAGGACTGCGAGTGCTGATGAGAGGGCGGAAGATCGCTGACTCGCATCGAAGGTAGACTGCTTGCCGAACTTGTTTTTCCCCTCGTACCATAAGTAAAAGGCTGATCCAGGTTCATCTTATCCTGACAGGACGTCTTTTGGAGCTTATCCGCAACCAACATGTTCTCATTAAAACCATAAATACTATTGTAACTCAAGTCCTTCGCATAGAGGTCCACATTGAAAGCGTCCCTAGCCTGCAATTCCTCCAAATACTGATCTAAGTCGATGCTAGCCCCATCGAACCGACTCCCAAGGGATTCCAGTTCATCCAAACTGTCCAAAACTTCACAAACATCGTCACTTACAGGTCTTCTTTTCAGTTGTCGATGTCTTGCTTCGTCCGGATTTCTCAACTCGGCCGAATCACTTCCCGCACTTTCGAGAGAATTCCGACTATCCCGAAAACTGGAACTGATCGTTAATTCTCCCTGTCCTGTCGAATCTCTGTTTGCAGAAACTTGCGAACCACAGGAGAGTTTTTTGAGCGACTCCAAAGAGTCCTGAGTGTCCAGGGACTCTAAATCCTCCAAAGGTGGCGGTGACGTTGGAATCGGAGGCGGAGACACCAATTCACTATCCGAGGAATCGTGGAGTTCGGCAATTAGAGTTCTACTAGCGCCTAAATAATACGAAGCCGGTCTGAAAGTATCTGAGAGACTGAATCTAGGATGTCGCGGCGCGTCGATAGAATCCAAGTCCTTCGACGATTCGTCATCAGCGTCCGAACTATCCGATTTTAAAGCTGTCAAAATATCCGGAAGTTCTGCCCTTTCGGTCTCTTTTTTCCCTTTCTCTTCTTCTTTTTCCGCCAGTTGGTTCACTTCCATGTAGACGGGTTCCATTTTACTGTCCGTGACACAGACGAATTCGTAGTGCGCCGAGTAATCGCCGTAGTCTTGTTTCGAATTCGGGGCGAGTAGGGAACGAGCGAGTCCATTTTGGGTCATTTCCACGTAGGAACTCTCCTCGTGATCGAGAGTGGCGAATAGGCTCTCCATCATTTTTGATGGCATTTGGTTGTCGTCTGTATTTGGATCGAGGATCGATTTTCTAGGCGACATGGGAAGATAGTGATTTTCTGGTGATGCGTCCTCCTTTGGAATCGGGGAAGTGTTTTCACTTTCTCCGGAAAATTGATCGCCGTGGGTAACTAGCGATTCGGTCATGCTTAGGCGAGTGTAACATGGTGGCGAACCTTCGGGATCTTCGGTTCCCTTCGAGGTCTTCCGTCTTCTTTTTCTGTCTTCGGGTTTTCTTCTAATGGTTCCTGTGTAGTCTTGGGTTTTTGACGCTTCTTTCTCGTAGTCCCCGAGCTTTTGGTAATCTTCGGTTTGATATTCCTTCAGTTTTAGGTAGTCCTCTTTTTGGTGTGTTTGCTTTTGATAATCCGGTTTTAGACGTTCGGTTTGGTAGTCTTCCTTTTGATATTCTTCCTTTCGATAGTCCTCCTTTCGGTAGTCTTCCTTTCGATAGTCCTCCTTACGGTAGTCGTCCTTTTGATAGTCCTCCTTTCGGTAATCGTTCTTTCGATATTCTTCCTTTCGGTAGTCGTTCCTTTGATAGTCCTCCTTAAGATAGTCGTCTTTTTGATGGTCTTCCTTTCGGTAGACGTCCTTTTGATATTCTTTCAGTTTTAAGTAGTCCTCTTTTTGGTATTCTTGTTTTTGATAATCCTCTTTTAGAAATTCGGTTTCGTAGTCTTCTTTTCGATAGTCCTGCTTGTGGTAGTCTTCTTTTCGGTGGTCTTCCTTTCGGTAGACGTCCTTTTGATATTCTTTCAGTTTCAAGTAGTCCTCTTTTTGGTATTCTTGTTTTTGATAAACCTCTTCTAGCAGTTCGGGTTTGTAGCCTTCTTTTCGATAGTCCTGCTTCTGGTAGTCTTCTTTTTGATAGTCCTGCTTCTGATAGTCTTCCTTTCGATACTCCTGCTTCTGATAGTCTTCCTTTCGGTAGTCTTTTTGATTTTGTGTCTGCCTTTGATAATCTTCCGTTTGGTATTCGTTGAAGTCCTTCTGGTACTCTTGCCGCCTCTGGTAGTACGCCTCTGGTTCCGCCTCCTTTTCGTGCTTCTGGCTCTGATACTCGAGAGTTCTTTGAAATTCCTGATTCCTTAAATCCTGAGTTAAGTCCTGATTCCGTAACTCCAGAGTTCTTAGCTCCTGATTCCGTAACTCCAGAGTTCTTAATTCCTGATTCCTTAGCTCCAGAGTTCTTAACTCCTGATTTCTTAACTCCAGCGTTCTTAGCTCCTGATTCCGCATCTCCTGAGTCCCCAACTCCCGCTTTCTGGCGTATTCGTAACTTTTTGGATAAACCTGCCCCGCCGTACACTCCTGGCTCTTGTAATACTCATTTTTCGGATTGTCGGGGAACTTTTGACTCTTTTGGTACTGGCTACCCTTGAGGAAGTCGGGCCTATCGTCCTGATGTCGATAATCATGACTCTTGACCAATTCCTGTTGCTTCTGGTATTCTTGAAACTTGCGGAACTCGCGATCGTGAGCGTCCTCTTCGCCGCTTTTGTCCGGTTGGTCCAAATCACTGCCGGTGTCATAGAGAAGAGTTTCGGTGTCGCTAAAAACCCCGCGATGTTTGATTTCCTTTCGCTTGTCGTCGTCCTCCTGCTGCCTGACTTGCTGCGACTTCTTTTCAAAATCGGCGAGCAGATCCTTGACGGACTTGTTCCTATTTTTCTTGTTCGCCTCGTCTGCACCATCTTCGACTTCGGTTCTTGTATCTGAATGAGGAGCGACTTGTGGTTTTCTATTGGAGTCTAATTTAGAAACGTGAGCCTCGGTCGTCGCTTGTGGCGGTGAGATTTTCAAGGGCTCTTGCATTGTCAGCGTCTCACGAACTGGACTCGGACCCGACTCGAAGGACTTGATTCTACTCTGAACCAAATTCACTGTATCGTTATTTTCCTCCTCCGTCTTCGAGTATCTTTGAGGACTCTCAACGTTTCTCGATGTTTCACTATTCTTCTCCCAATATTCCTCCTCGTCATTGTCTTTCGTCTTCCATTGAACATTCTTCGTTTGCCAAGTTTCACCTGGTATATACCCAGCCAAAGTACTCAACTTTCCTTCTTCGTTCCTTGTGACCTGGTTTGAATAAGCACTCGGTGTTTTTAGAATTCCTGAGGGCTTCTTTGGTGTCTCGAGTGAATCGGTGATATTTTCCTTTTTCGTGGAATTCCTCTCCTTTGTTAGAATGGTTGATTTTGTGGTGGGTGATTTTGTGCTTGATGTTGATTTGCCTTCGAGGTAGTTGACCTCCTCGTAGCCGGCGTCCGGCGGAATTCCACAGAGAGTGGAAGCGACGCTCGACTTGTGAGTGTTGTTGACGACGACGGGAGTCATGGGTGACCGATCCTCTCCAAAATTCCGGGGGCTCCTCCCTGTATGCGAGGGTCTACGCGTGCGCTTCCTCCGGACATCGCCCAGCTCTGATTCGTTATCAAACAAATACATTTTAATTTACTTTCTTTTTTTTGTTTTTGTTTTGTTAATTACCCACAACCAGGAGATATTGTGCAAGTCTCTGCATTGAGAGATCTACTCTAATCTAATATTTCGTTTCAAAAAAGCAGTGTCCTTCCAAAAGCTTCCAATTTTAGAAAAAAGAATTAATCATTATTGTTATTAATTTTTACATTCCCAATCTTCAAATTACTTTAATTTAATTCATTTGTTTCAATTTCAATTAATTTTCTTTTGATTCTTTTTATTTTTTTATTTTTTATTTTTATTTATTTTTATTTTTTTTTAATTTTGTTGTTGTTGTTCTTTTTTGTTATTTTTTTCGTTTTGTTTTCTTTTTTAAAATTTAATTTCAGTTATGTTTGACACAAAATTGAAAATAATTATCTTGATAATAAAAAAATTTTTTTTTTAATTTAAAAAAATAAAAATATAAATCTTGATAAAAAATGGATTATATTTATGAAAAAAAATGTTTCTTTCTCGATGCAGAGATTAAATATTGAATGGAGATTAGTTGTAAGAAACGAGCTTGAGGCGATGACGTTCGCAGGACGAGAGTGTTAGTTGACCTACGACATGCCATGCTTCTGACGACCTTCAAAAGCGTCTAAGATGTTAATTTTAATCAGACCAGACCCACCATCGCCATAGAGAAGGAGCCCCGAGGAGAGAAACTGTCCGTAGAATTTTTTCTTTACAATTTTTTTTTTTCTATTCGACTTTTACATTTTCAATTAAAAAAAAAGAAAAAAAAAATTAATAAGAGTTGATTAAAATTTACATTTTTCGTTTCTTTGAAAAATTGGAAAACGCCATTAAAAATTTTAATGAGAATGTAATTAAAAAAAAAGAAAAAAGTACCAGAAACATTTTTACTTGACATTCATATTCTAGTGTTCAAAAAGTTTCATCCAGAATAATAAAAAATAAATTTGGTTTTTAATTGTACTTTTATGTTAATGATAAATTAAGCTTAGATTAACATTAATTAACATAATTGCGATATTAATAATATTAATTAATTAACAATATAGGTAAAATATTTATTAATAAAACATTTTAATAAGTCAATTCTAAAAAGTATTAATTTTAATTTTATTAATTTTTTAAATTTTTTAATTTCGATAAATTTGAATTTAATTTTTATCTTGTAATTCTAATTAATTTTAATTTAACTTTTATTTTAATTCAATTTTAATTTAAGTTGAGTTTAATTTTATCTCTTATTAATTTAATAATTCATTCATTTTTTATTTATTAAATTTTTATTGAAAATTAAAATTCTTATTAATTTTTATTAAATTTAAACTCATTTTCATTAAAATTAATTCTAATAAGTAAAATGGAATTTAAATATAAAGTGATCTCAATCAATCTTTGTTTTTTTTTAAATTTCGTTTAAGTTTCATGTCCAATGCATCGAAATTAAGCAATTTGTTAATTTTCCGCTTTTTAGATGTAGAATGCATATTTAATGACATTTTACGTGCAACCTCGTTAGTTAATAAGCAAGATTGCCACGGGTCAGGGAATTCAGGGAAAAATCAGGAAAAGTAGAATTGATCAGGAAAAAGTCAGGAATTTTTGTTAAAAGTACTGGAAAAAAAATAAGTTTTTAGAATTGGATTTTTTAATATGTATATTTAATTCGATTTAAAAAATTTTTGAGAAAATTCTTCGAATGAAATCAATTATTTTAATAAATAACTAAATTCTTACCTGAAATTCAATTATTATCAGGAATTTAAATAAAATTCAATTATTTTCAAAATTAAAAAAAAATTCTTCCCACGAATTCAATTATTTTCCTGAAAATTCTTCGAAAGAATTCGATTATTTTCAAAAAAATTTGATAATTCTAATTAATTTGATAATTTTAACCAATTCCAATAAATTCGTTCACAAGATTTCAATTATTTTTATAAATAATAAATTTCTTTATAGGAATTCAATTATATTCAAAAATGTTAATAAAATTCTTTGCAACTATTCAATTATTTTCATAAATAACAAAATTCTTCTTATTCATAAAAGTAATTGAATTCTTGGAATGAATTTTTATTAAAATTTCTACAAAAAATTGAAATTCAGTTGAGTTTTATTTTTTATAAAAATAATTGAAATCCTAGGAAGTGATTTATTATTTATGAAAATAATTGAATTCTTTTGGAAAATTTTATTAAAATAATAAACATTGAAAATCATTGAATTGAGGAAAATTTTTGAAAATAATAGAAATTTTGACAACAATTTTATTCAAATTTTAGAAAACAATTGAATTTCGGAGAAAAATTTTGCTATATTTATAATTCTCGACGAGAATTTTATTACCATTTTTGAAAAAACTTGAATTCTTTCCAGGAATTGAATTATTCTTGGAAATAATTGAATTTTTTCAAGAAATTTAATTATTTATGAAAATAATTGATTTTCTTCAACGAATTATATTAAATTTTTTTTTGTAAATAATTTAATTCTTTCGAAGAATTTTGTTATTTATGAAAATAAATTAATTGCATTAAATTTTCAATTACAATAAATTTAATTGGATTCTTGCTGTAAATTTTTTATTAAAATTTCTTGAAAATAATTTAATTTTTTCGATAAATTTTTTTATTTTTGAAAATAATAATATGAATTTTTGCAATAAAAGTTTTTTTTGAAATTTTTAAAAATACTTTAATTAATTCAAAAATTTAAAAAAATTTTTTAAAAATAATTGAATTTTGCTGAGAATTTTATTAAAATCCCTGAAAATAATTGAATTTTGCAAAGAATTTTATTAAAATTCCTGAAAATAATTGAATTTTGCAAAGAATTTTATTAAAATTCCTGAAAATAATTGAATTTTGAAAAAAAAATTATTAAAATTTTTGAAAATAATTGAATTCTTGTGATAAATATTGTTATTTACGAAAATAATTGAATTTTGCAATTATTTTATTAAAATTCTAGAAAATAATTGAATTCTTGTGATAAATATTGTTATTTACGAAAATAATTGAATTTTACAAAGAATTATATTAAAATTCCTGAAAATAATTGATTTTTACAATTATTTTATTAAAATTCTTGAAAATAATTGAATTCTTGTGATAAATATTGTTATTTAAGAAAATAATTTAATTTTTCCAAGAATTATATTAAGATTCCAGATATTAATTGAAATCTTAGAGAATTTTTAAAAAACTTATTTAAAAATTGAATTTTTTTTTGCAAAAATCTTATTTTTATAAGTTCTTGAATTTCAAAATGGTTTGAATTTAAACGTTTGTCTGGAAATCAGGAAAAGTCAGGGAAAAACAAAATTCAATTTTTGTGGCAACCCTGATAATAAGTCTGAGCATTTTTTTTTCTTGCAAAGATCTAAAAAGTGAAGAGAATTCGAGAAAGAATTAAGTAGATAATGATTTGTTAGAATATCCAACCTCTTTTTTTGGTGTTAGTCTTTTTCTCGATATTTTATTAGCAAAGTATTATTATTTTTTTTTTTAAATAGCAATTCCACGATTCTTTGGCTTCTAAATTATATCCTCAACAAAGGATTTAAAAAAATTTTCAGTTCTTTTTTTTTTGCTGGACAACAATCGACGTGAAGAGAGAGAAAAGTTATAAAGCTTTATCGTCCTCGTCCATTGGATGCAAAACTTTAGTTTGACGAACGTTGTTAAAACTTTTAACTACGTAACATGTAATTATATACATTACAGAGAAAGCTTCCAACTCTACTAATATAATGGGCACAAGATTACAAAATGCAAGGAACTTGGAACTTGTATTTCGAACTTTCGTTTTGACTCTCTAATTGCAAAGTTTAAATTTCAATTGAGAATATAAATAATTATTCTTTTCGTTAAATTTGGAAGCAGTTGTTAGTAGACAACTTTTATTGAGCCAATTGGACAAAAATTTGGTGAATTTTCTTCTCTGGCCAATTGGACAAATTTGTTACAAATTTTCTACAAATTTGTTACAAATTAAATTACAAATTTGTTTCTTTAGAGAATTTGTGAAAATTATCGAATTGGCAGAGAAGAGAAAACTGTAAAGAAATCAATTTTGAAAATTGGTTCCAAATTTCTTTTTTTTTTTCTTTGAGAAAATGATGAAGGCATGATTTTAGATGATAAGTTCAGGTGAGGAGGTTTCCCTACCTTCGTCATCGCTGGAGTAGCTGTTGTAGCGCGAAACGTTGGTCACAGATCTTCTGCCGTCGGAACTTTTACTCCTGACGTGAGGACGATGGCTTTCGTCCCTTCGCCTCGAGTGACGTGCCTCAGCGACGGAGGCTTCATGAGCAGCCAAATCAAGAAGAGCTTGTTGTTTGTAGTAGTTTGATAATTCGTTTTGTGCCGTCCCTCTGTTTGTTGATCCAGAGGGCTTTCGAGTCAGCGGCGACTGCAGCATTCGCTGCTTCCACTCTAATAGTCGCTTCATCGATTCCTCTCGCTGGAAGAAAACAAAAATTTACCATTTATTAGAACCACAAGATTTTTCATTATATTTCGAAACTGAAACTCTTGCCAGAAAAAAAATTCTGATCCACGTTTAGAATTTTTTTTGTAGCAAGAGTTTCAATTTTCAAAAAAAAATTCTGATCCCGGATTAGAATTTTTTTTGTGGCAAAACTTAAACTCTTTCTACAAAAAAAAATTCTGATCCTTGATCAGAATTTTTTTTTCTAGCAAAACTAAAACTGTTGCAACTAAAAAAAATTCTTATCCTGGATCAGAATTTTTTTTTGAAAATTGAAATTCTTGCTACAAAAAAAAAAAAATTCTGATTCTGGATCTCAATTTTTTTTGTAGTTCTTTGTTGTCAAAATAATTCAATCATTAAAAAAAAATTGATAAAATCCATCCAAAATACAATTATTTTCAAAAATAATAAAATTTCCACAGGAATTCAATTAATATAGAATAGCATTTTGTTAAATTATGAAAAACTCAATTATTTAACAAAATTTTTATACACTTCACAGTAATTCAATTACTTTCACCTATATTGACAATTTTCATCGAAATTGAATGTTTTTAAAACAAATTTTGATAAAATTCTGAACAAGAATTAAATTATTTTCATAAATAATAAAACTCATTCAAGAATTTCAATTAATTTTAATACTATTTTAAATTAATTAATTAAAAAATTCAAATATTTTCACAAATAAAGTTTTTCACAAGAATTCAATTATTTAAAATAAAATCTTCATAATTTTTATAATATTTCGAAAAAATTAATTATCTAAAACAATTTGCATAAAATTCTTATTAAGAATTAAATTATTTTCAAAAATAACAAAATTTTTCGCAATAATTCAATTATTTCCATAAATAATATAATTTTTCTCAATAATTCAATTATTTTCATAAACAATAAAATTCTTCACAGAAATTCAATTATTTTTGAAAATTTTAATAAAATTCTTCCCCAAAAATTCAATTATTTTCAAAAGTAACAAATTTTTTAACACAGTAATTCAATTATTTTTCAACATTTTAGTAAAATTTTTGCATAATTCAATTATTGTCATAAATAATAAAATTCTTTACAAAATTTCAATTATTTTCGACAATTTTAAAAAGATTCTAAACAAGATTTCAATTTTCTTCATCAAATAAAAAATTCTTTGCAGAAAGTCAATTATTTTCAAAAATTTTAATAATATTCCTGCCAAGAATTCAATTATCTTCATAAATAATCAAATACTTCGTTAAAATTCAATTATTCTTAAAAATTTTATCAAAATTCGTCGAAAGAATTCAATTCTTTAAAAAAATTATAATAAAATTTTTTAAAAGAATTCAATTTTCAACAAATTCCTCAAAAAAATGCAATTATTCTTACAAATTTTATTAAAATTCTTCGCAGGAATTTAATTATTTTTATAAATAATGAATTTCTTTTTAAAAATTCAATTATTTTTATAAATAACAAAATTCTTCTTAGGAATGGAATTATTTTAAAATACCTTAAAATTTTTAAAACTGATTGAACCTCTGTAAAAAGATATTTTTATAAAAATAATAATTGAATTCTTGAACGGAATTTTAATAAAATTTTTGAAAAATATTAAATTCCTGAAAAGAAATTTATTCCTCGAAAATTAATTGAATTCTTGGAATTAATTTTATTAAAATTTTGACAAAAAAAATTGAATTTAAGCTATGAGTTTTATTTTTTATAAAAAATAATTTTAATTTCTGCAAAGAATTTTATTAATATTTCTAAAAAGAATTATTTACATAAATAATTCTTCGAAGAATTCAATTATGTCGATAAATAACAAAATTATTGCCGAAAATTCAATTATTTTGGTGTAATTTTTATAAAAATTCATTGCAAAATTCAATTATTTTCATAAATAACAATATTCATCACAAGAATTCAATTATTTTCGAAAGTAATTAATTTCGTTTTGGAAATTCAATTATTTAAAAAAATTCTAATTAAAATCGTTCGCAAGAATTCAATTATTTTCATAAATAATAAAATGCTTTTTAGGAATTCAATTATTTTCAAAAAAAATTTAATAAAATACAATTATTGTCAAAAATTTAAATAGAATTCTTTGTGAAATTTAATTATTTTTAAATACTTTTCGCAATTCAATGATTTTCAATATCTACTATTTTCATAAAATTTCCAAACAGAATTGAATTATTTAAAAAATTTTTTGTGAAAATCTTCATAAGAATTCAATTCTTTTCACGAATGGTACAAATTCCTCGGGGATGCACTTATTTAAATTAGAATTTGCATAAAATTAGTCGAAAGAAATGAATTATTTAAAAATGTTTATAAAATTCTTCACAAGAATTAAATTATTTTCATAAATATTTAAATTCTTTCATGGATAATAAAATTCGTTGCAGGAATTCAATTTATTAGCAGAATAAGAAGGAAGTAAATATTTTTGACGAAAATTGGGAAAAAGTCAGAAAAATAAAATATAGAATGGAATTTTCGTCAGTTTTGTAAAGTTTCTAAAACGAGTTTTTTTGGTCATCAAGTTTAATATTTCGATAGCTACTTTTTTACAATTTTTTTTAGTTTAAAAGCTACTTTTTGATAATTTTTTAAAATTAATTATCAAATGCGAAGTCTAGATCCATCAACTTTGGCAAGAATTTCAATTTTTAATTTCAAGTAAGAAGAAAAACAAAGAAAGAAAAAAAAGAAAGAGAAACAGAAAAAAAGAATTGAAAGAAAGAAAGAAAAGAGAGAAAGAAAGAATCTTCTCGGTAAGAATTTCGATTTCCATCAGTAAAGGAAGAATCTTCCTCGGCAAGAATTTTAATTCCTCAACGAAAGAAAGAATCCTCTTCGGTAAGAATTGAATACTAAAGGTGATGGGAGATTAAATGATGCACCTTGTGTTTGAGATAAATAGAATTTTTGAAAGGAACAACAAAGGAAACAATGAGTCATCATCATCATCATATTCGTTTCTTCTTGTAGACTGATGGGAGAGAGATTCACGTCTCGTGCGCCTAAAGATTCCGGGTTTCATGGTGAAAGCTATGAACGACGAGTTCGTGACGATATTGCTAATGACGCGAAGCAAATGCAGTTACCTGTCGCGCAAAGCTTTATGAATCATGTTTAAAAGTACACGTTAGTTTTACTCTACACAGGAAACTGTCATGAATCATTTTTATGTTATTTTCTTCTAGAAAAAAAAGAAGAAAGAAAAAAATCCACAAAAAACTACCAAAAAGACTGTTACTGAATTTATAAACAAACCACCGAAACGTGGTCTTGGAAAAATCTGATTCAATTCTTTTTATTCTGCATTGTTGGTTGTTTTACTATACTCCTTTCATTTTTCGATATTATTAATTATTCTGTATTAAAATCAAAACAAGAAGAATACAAAAAAAAACAAATCCGATTATTATTTTTTAGAACCTTTAACTAAAATTACTCGGAAATTCTTCAGTAAAATAAATATTAGAAAAAAAAATTTCAAGTAATTTAGAAAAAAATTCAATTAAATTACTCAGAAATTCTTCAGTAAAATAAATATTAGAAAATAAAAATTTCAAGTAATTTAGAAAAAAGTTCAATTGAACTTTTTCAAAAAAATTAATTCTATTTAGAATTATCAGTTAAAAGTATGGAAAATTCAAATTTTCAAAGATTTTAATTTTTAATTAGAAACCTTTTCAAAATTCAATTATTTTTCAAAATTCACGCTAGATAAATTTTATTATTCAATTATTATTTAAAATTTTAATCGAAATTCATTTTTAAATCAATTTTTATTAGAAAATTCTACGAGAATTCAATTATTTAAATACAAAAATAAATAATATATTTAATAATCGAATGTTTCTTAAAACTGAATTCTTATGAAGAATTTTTTCTAAAAAATGAATTCTTACGACGAATTTTGATAAAATTTTTAAGAATACTTAAATTTTTGCGAAGATTTTAATTATTTATGAAGATAATTGAATTTCTGTCAGGAATTTTAATAAAATTTTTGTAAATAATTGAATTTTTGCGAAAAATTTTGATGATTCCTGAGAAGAATTTTATTAAAATATTTTAAAAGAATTAAATTTCGTCGAAGTACTTGAATAGTTTTAAAGATTATTAAATTTTTGGAAAGAATTTCATTAAAATTTTTGAAAATAATTGAATTTTTGCAAAGATTTTGAATATTTATGAAAATAATTGAATTCTTGTAACCAACTTTATTAAATTTTTTTTCAAATAATTAAATTCCTTGGTAGATTTTTATTATTTCTAAAAATAATTGAATTCCTAAAAAGAAATTTATTATTTATAGAAATAATTAAATCTTTGCTGAAAATAATTGAATTCTTTCAAAGAATTTTAATAAACCGTTTAAGAATAATTGTATTTTTCGAAGAATTTGATTATTTTTTAAGATAATTAAATTTTTGGGAAATGCTTCAATAAAATTTTTAAAAATAATTAAATTTCTCTGAAGAATTTTAATATTTATGAAAATAATTGAATTCCTGCAACGAGTTTTATTAAATTTTTTGAAAATTATTGAATTCTTGGAACGAATTTTATTAAAAATTTTAGAAATAATTGAAATTCTACTGAGTTCTATTTTTTACAAAAATAATTGAATTTTTGCGAAGAATTTTATTAAAATCTTTTTAAATAATTTAATTTCTGAGAAGAATTTTATTATTTTCGAAAATAATTGAATTTTTCTGAAGAATTTTAATATTTATGAAAATAATTGAATTCTTGGAATGAATTTTATTAAAATTTTTAGAAATAATTAAAATTCTACTGAGTTTTATTTTTTACAAAAATAATTGAATTTTTGCGAAGAATTTTATTAAAATCTTTTTAAATAATTTAATTTCTGAGAAGAATTTTATTATTTTCGAAAATAATTGAATTCTTAGGTATAATTTTATTAACGTTTTTAAAAATAATTAAATTCCACAGAAGAATTTTATGAAAATTTGTTTAAATAACGAATATCCTTGAAAAAAGTTTATTATTTATGATAATAATTGAATTTTTACTAAAAATTGTAATATTTAGGATTTTTTTAATTTAATTAAATTCATTCGAAGAATTTTAATAAAATATTTGAAAATAATGATCATTTTTTTTGAGGTATTTGATCATTTTTGAAGGTAATTAAATTTTTTGAAATAATTTTATTAAAATTTTTTAAAATAATTGAATTTCTGAGAAGAATTTTATTATTTTTTAAAATAATTGAATTTTTCTGAAGAATTTTAAATAGGATATTTGAATGTTTGAAAATAATTGAATTCTTTCGCAGACTTTTAATAAAATATTTGAAAATAATTGAATTTTTTTGAAGCTTTTGATTATATTTGAAGGTAATTTAATTTTTGGAAAGAATTTTTTTAAAATTGTTGAAAATAATTTAATTCCCATAAATAATTTTATAATTTATTATAATAATTGAATTCCTATGCAGAATTTTATTCTGTTTGGAAATAATTGAATTCCTGAGCAGAATTTTGTTATTTCTAAAAATAATTGAATTCCTGAGCAGAATTTTATTCTTTTTGGAAATAATTCAATTTCTAAAAGTAATTGAATTCCTGAGTAGAATTTATATTCTTTTTGGAAATAATTGAATTTCTAAAAATAATTGAATTCCTGAACACAATTTTATTCTTTTCGGAAATAATTGAATTTCTAAAAATAATTGAATTCCTGATCAGAATTTTATTATTCATGAAAATGACCTTTCCCTGAATTCCCTGACCTTTCGCAACCCTGTTTACAGTAAAAAATAATAAATTGAATGACTTCAAAACGATTGCAAAAGGTAAAAAAAAAGAGAAAAGAAAGTGAAAATCAGTACCTGTTGAATTTTTCGCTCTCCATCCCTCGAGTCGTGATTGGACGATCGATCGTTGTACTCGTCGTCGTCGTCCTCGTGATCAACAGCAGCGGGATGCCTGGTGCGTGGCAATCGTGCCGACGCCGACCTGGCGAACTGCTGCTCGTTCCAGCGCCTAGGCCCCGTGTGACAGGCCGGACTCCCATAAGAACTATGGTTGCTCACGTGACTCGTCATTCCTGTAGTGCGAGAAACTCCAGTCGATGAATCGTAGTCACGTGGCATTCTTCTAGGTACGGTTCCGCTTTCATTGTGAATCAGCATCTCTCGACTCGTCGCTGCCGCCGCCACAGCCGCCGGCTCGTAACTCCTCTCTCGCAAGGACCTCCGCAGAAGTGCTTCGTTACTCGCCAGGCTAAAGTCAATAAAAACACATGAAGCGAATAATAACATTCAACGTGTATACTCCCTAGAATTATTTATTATTTATTTCCAGTTACACAACTAAAATCTTGATAACGACTCTTTGGAATTAAATCGAAAGTGCAACGCCTCGTCATTTATATATATCGTTCGGAAAGATAAATAACGGGAAACCTTTAATTTAATTTTTAATTTGTCTTTAAGAGAAGAATACGAGACGAATACTTCTGGTATTCGTCTCGTATTCATCTCTTAAAGACGAATTAAAAATTCGAACAATCATAATTCTTGGGTAGTGAATTATTTCGGTAAATATCTCATTATGTTTCCAAGGGAATGAATAATCATTTTTTTTCTACTTTCTTCGTTTGTCTGTAAATTTACTTAAAGTCCGTAAAAGTCACTTTTTTTTAGAAAACGTCCGCAAAGTTCATAATTCATTTGAAAAATACGAAAAGTTAGTAAAATGTACAATATAATTTGGAGAATTTTGATGAAGTTAAAAATAATTGTAGACATTCAATTATTTCCAAAAATAATAAAATTCTTCGCAGAAATTCAATTATGATCAAAATTTTTTTTAAATTATCATCAAAATTTCAATTATTTTCGAAAATAATAAAATTCTTCTCCGAAATTCAATTATTCTCAAAAATAAATTTTAATTTTAATAAAATTCTGGGCAAAATTTCAATTATTTTCAAAAAAATTTCCCTCAATTCAATATCTACAATTTTAATAAGATTTACTAATAAAATTCAATTATTCAAAACAAATTTTAATAAAACTCTGTGTAAACATTTAACTATTTTCATAAACAATAAAAATTTCACAGAAATTCAATTATTTATAATTTTTTCTTTCAATTTCTTCGCAAGAATTCAATTATTTTCATAAATAAGAAAATTCTTCGCAAGAATTAAAATATTTTCATAAAGAAGAAAATTCTACAAAAGAAATTCAATTATTTTCAAAAATAATAAAATTCTTCTCCGAAATTAAATTATTCTCAAAAATAAATTTTAATTTTAATAAAATTCTGGGCAAAATTTCAATTATTTTCAAAAAAATTTCCCTTCTATATCTACTAATTTGATCAAATTTACCAAAAGAATTCAGTTATTTGAAAAAAAAAATTAAATTAAATTCTACGCAAACATTTAATTATTTTCATAAACAATAAACAATTCACAGGAATTCAATTATTTATAATTTTTTTTTTCAATTTCTTTGTAAGAATTCAATTATTTTGAAAAATAATAAAAATCTGCTGAGAAATTTAATTATTTTCAAAAAATTTTATAAATTTCTTCGCAGAAATTCAATTATTTTCATAAAAAATAAAACTTATAGCAGAATTTCAATTATTTTTAAAAATTTTGAAGAAAATTCGTCCCAAGAATTCAATTATTTACATAAATAATTATTGTTTTTCAAGAATTAAATTATTTTCCCAAATAATTAAACTTATTTCAGATTTTAAAATAGTTTCAATACAATTTTAAACAAATTTCTTGAAAAAAGCAATTATTTTCATAATGAATCAAATTCATAGCAAGAATTCAATTATTCTTTAAAAATTTCGATAAAATTCTCCATAAACATTCAATTATTTACCAAAATAATACAATTTTCGTCAAAAATTCAATTATTTTTGAAAATATTAAAATTGTTTATTAAAAACTCAAATATTTATAATTTTTTTTATAAAATTCTTCGCAAGAATTCAATTATTTTCATAAACAATGAAATTTTTCTCGAGAATTCAATTATTGAAAAAAAATTAATAAAATTCTGTTCGAGAACTCAATTATTTTCATAAAATCATAAATATTAAAATTCTTCTCCTAAATTCAATACCTATTATTTTTAAAAGTAATCAAATTCTCCGCAGAACTTCAATTGCGTTTAAAAATTTATTTAAATTCTTGTCAAATTTTCAATTATCTTTATAAATAATAAAATTCTTCTTCGAAATTCAATTATTTGTAACGTGAATTTTTAGAAATAATTGAATTTCTGCAACTAATTTTATTAAAATTTTTAAAAGTAATTGAATTTCTAAGAAGAATTTTTTTAATTAGGAAAATAATTGAATATTTCCCCTGAAAAAAATTTATTTGTGATAATAATTTAATTTTTGCTAAGAATTGTAATATTTATGATTTTTTAATTTTTGAAATTAATTAAATTTTTCCGAAGAATTGTTATAAAATATTTGAAAATAAATTGAAAATTTTTGTTGACGAATTTGATTTTGAAGATAATTAAATTTTTGGAAAGAATTTTATTAAAATTTTTGAAAATAATTGAATTTCTGCGAAGAATTTTAATATTTATGAAAATAATGCAGAATTTCAATTATTTTAAATACAGCTTTAATAGAATTCCTCAATTTTTTTTCAATTATTAAAAAATTTGTTGATAAAATTTTTTACCAGAATTTAATTTTAAGAAAGATTCAATTATTCAATAAACTATATAGGTTTGTATTTAAATAATTGAATTCGCGTAGAATTTTCTAATGAAAATTGATTTAAAAGTGAATTTCTGTTAAAATTTTAGACAATAATTGAATATTAAAAGCATTATTTAATAATTTAGAAATTAAAAGCATTAGTAAATTTTTCAATATTTTCTTATGATATAAAATAATGATTTTATCACTCGGTCAACTTTAATTATTTTAAAACATGAAGAAATCGATAACTCCGAGTCGAAGACTCAACAACAATGCCATCGTTATTGAAATTAATTAAATTTTCAATTTTCAATTTTTTTTTAATTCCATCGTTGTTTTTGTTGTTTATTTTCTCACAAACGGAGAAGAAAAAAAAATGTTTATTCATTCCCTTCGAAACTTAATGAGATATTTTTTACCCAACTGTAATTACAGTCGGGTAAAAAGTAACACTGGAGTAATAAGGAAGAGGACAAAAATATTTCAATTGCAAGGAAAGGAATTTTTAACTATTCTATTTAATAGAAATAGTTGAGTAATTTGAAGGCGAATCTCGTTGCAATATCAATTAACTCACTCATTGTGCCTCTGCAGGGGTTGTGAACTAATGATATGTTGCATGTGATCTCCTCTCGATCCTCGTCGAATTCCAGAGCAGGAATTTTCCGACAGCGTTCCAATGCCAGATTCAACGTCTCTGTCTCTATTCGATGTCATGGATGGCGTTGTTGCTCTCGAAAGTGACTGATTCCTTTGTTGCTGATGGTGTTGAGGCGTTTGGTGAATGTAGACTGCACTTTGTCGCATTTGAGCTGCGTATCTATTGTCAAAAGAAAAAACAATTGTGTATTCCAAAAAATAGACCAGTAGATAAAAATTTTATAAATCAAATCAAAAGACGAATTCTATACTTTTAAAATACTATTGAGCTTCTAAAAATTTTTAAAATTTTCCATTTAACAATTTTTTTTATTTTCTAAATTTATTTCCAAAAAATTCAATTATTTACATAAATTGTAAAATTCTTGGCAAGAATTCAATTATTTTCATAAATATTAAAATTCTTTGCAAAAATTCATGCCAATATTCTTGAAAGTTATTGGATTGCAAAAGCTTTGAATGTGAAATTTTTGCAAATTTTAATTCTTATGGAGAAATAATAATATGTAATTAAATAAATAAATTTTCAGAAATAGAAGGAAATATTTTGAGTGAAATTATATATAGCTGAACTTCCGGGATGCAAATAGTTACCTCTCCTCGGAGTAAAAGTAGTTGTCATTGGCAGGAGTATCGGAGGGATTAACAATATCTAAACTAGACTTCGGCCTCTGCGGTCGCCTGGATTGATTTTGGAGACTATCTGACTGAATGAGAGTTTGCTGATCTGGTCTTCGATTTGCTTCGTATTCGAGGAAATCCGCACTGTGGGGTCGTGGCGGTGGATGAACTCTGGCTTGTCTCATTACTGGAGCTAAAAGTTATAAAGAGAAAAAAAGAAATTATATTTTTTATCCATTTACCAATCCAATTGAAAATCATTTTTTTATGCTTCTATATTTAATTTTAAATTAAAATTAACTACTACTACTAATTTAAAATTAAAATTAAATTAGGCCAACATAAATATACATCTTAATAAATTAAAATTAAATTAAATGTTTTAAACTTTAAATTATATCAAAAATTTGTTCAATCCCGAGAATTGGAAATAGTTTAAATCGCAAAAAGTGTGAACACTATCGAAATTCCGGCTTTGCACTCGATAAATAATTTTAATAAAATTCATTCCAAAAATTTAAAATTACCTTATAAAAAATAATCAAATTCTTCAAAAAAAAATTTTGAATTATTTTCAAATATTTTATTACAATTCTTCGAAAAAATTTAATTAATTTCAATAATTAAAAAATCATAAATATTACAATTCTGAGCAAAAAAATTCAATTAATATCATAAATAATAAATTTTTTTTCAGAAAATTCGATTATTTAAAAAAAGTTTAATAAAATTCTTCTGAAGAATTTAATTATTTTTAAAAATGTTATTAAAATTATTCACAAGAATTCAATTATTTTCAAAAATAATAAAACTCATGGCAGAATTGGAATTATTTCTAAAACATTTGAGTAAAATGCATTGCAAATATTCAATTATTTACATAAATAATAAAATTCTTCTTAAAAATTCAATTACTTTTAAAAATTTTTCATCAAATTCTTTGCAAAAATTCAATTATTAACTAAAATTTTAACTAAAATTAATTTTTAAATCAATTTTTATTAGAAAATTCTATTAAATTCAATTATTTAAATGAAAAATAAAAAAATTTATAGAATACTAGATTATTTATTAAATTTAAATTCCGAAGAAGAATTTTATCAACAAATTTGGAAATAATTGAAAAATTTAAAAAAAAAAAATTTTAATAAAAAAATAATTGAATAATTGAATTCTTTTGGGGCATTTTGATAAAATTTTAAGAAGAATAATTACATTTTTTGAGAAATTCGATTAAAGTTGTATTTAAAATAATTGAAATTCTGTAATAAGTTTTTTTATTCTTATATAAAAATAATTGAATTCTTGCGAAGAATTTTATAAACCTTTTTTTTAAATAATTGAATTCTTGGACCAAATTTTATTAAAATGTTTAAAAACAATTGATATTCATATTTCATTAATATTTCAAAAAATAATTGAACTCCTACTACCTATGATTATTATTTTTGAAAATAATTGAATTGTTTTGAAAAATTTTGTAAACATTTTTTTCAAATAATTGAATTTTTGCGAAGAACTTTAGGATTAAAATTTGTTTAAATAATTTAATTACCATAAAAAAATGTATTATTTGTGAAAAATATAGAATTACTTATTTCGAAGAAGTTTCATTAAATTTTGAAGAATGATTGCATTTTTTAAGGAATTTGTTTAAAATTGTATGAAGCATAATTGAAATTCTGACATTTATTAAAATATTTATAAAAATAATTAAACTCTAGCAACAAATTTTATAAAAAATTTTAAAAATAATTGAATTTCTGCTAAAGAATTTTGTTATTTATTTAAAGATAATTGAATTGTTGCCATGAAATTTATTAAAAGCTTTGAAAATAATTGAATTTCTGCGAAGAATTTTGTTCATTATATAAAAATAATTAAATTTCTGTGAAAATTTTATTATGTATGAAAATAATTGGATGTTTGCAAAGAATATTTTATTAAAATTGTTTTTAAATAATTGAATTCTTTAGTTAAATTTTTTAAAAAATTTTGTTAAAAATTAAAGAAGATTTTGCATATTTAAAATATTTATGAAAATAATTGAATTCTATGCCAAGAATTTAATAAAATTTTCGAAAATAATTGAATTCTTGTTAAAAATTTTATTATTTATGAAAATAATTGAATTATTGCGAAGAAATTTAAAAAAAAAATTTGCAAACAATTAAATTCCCGACAAGTTTTTATTAGTTGTTGAAATAGTTAAATTCTTGCAGAATTTGATTTGATCTTGGTTTCTTTTCGAACCTTTTTTTTGTAAATTGTATTTTAATTTTTAAATAATTGAATTCCTCTGGAAATTTTATTATTTATTTGAAAATAATTGAATATTGTCAAAGAATTTTTAAAAGTGTTTTTAAATAATTAAATTCTTTTTGGTAATTTTATTAAGTTATATTGAAAATAATTGAATGTCGAAATTTTTGGAGAATAATTAAATTGTTTGAAAGAATTGAATAACTTTTTAAATTGTTATTAGGAATTTTAATTGAAATTTTAGAGAATATTTTTGTTTCAACTATTATCAAATTTAAAGTAGCTACTAATTTAAAAAAGAAAAAATAGCTTTTAATGTCACGAATCTATAAAAATGTATCCGAATAGTATCAAATTGTTGAAAAAGTCTAGTAAATGAGTACGAAGCCTGAAAATAGAAACTAAAATCATTTCGCTTGTAGTCCGATTTTGCTTAGGAAATAAATAATAAAAATTCATCACAGCAAAAAAAAAAAAAAAAGAAAAGAAAAATTTAAATTAAAATTAAAGAAAGAAAAAAAGTCTCGGTTTAAATCGACTCACCAACTTGAGGCGAGACATTGTAAACTTGCTGGTGTTGGACCTGCTGCGCATAAACCGGAATCGGAATAGGCGCTGGTGCAGGTGCTTTGGTATACCCCACGGGACCGGCAGGCCGCTGATAAAGCTGAGGAGCTCCATAAACATCCTCATAGTCTCCATTCCCCCTTCCACCGTTATTTCTCGGTTTCGCACTCCTCCCATAAGTATCCGGCGTTCTCCTCTCTTGATTATAATTCAGACCATAATTCAAGCCCGATTTATCTGTCCTCAGAGTCGCCTGTGGTTGCTGTTGTTGTTGCTGCGGTTGTTGTTGCTGTTGTTGCTGCTGCTGAGAAGCAGAACCCCTAGTCCCATAAATATTTCTCTCATATTCATTCATTGGACTCTTGCTCGTCATTCTAATATCCGGCGAGACTGGCGATTTTCTGTAATCTGGATCTGGCGACGAAGTACCTTCTGTGTAGCGTTTTGGTTTCGTGTTCGCGTACACTGGCTGGCAATAATTTCTCGGCATTGGTTGCACTTGAACGACGTTGCTGTTTGGTGCAGTCTGAAGACCAGTTTGGAGACCAGTCTGAAGACTATTCTGAAGACTATTCTGAAGACCCGTCTGGAGACTATTCTGAAGACCCGTCTGAAGACTATTCTGAAGTCCACTCTGGAGACCAGTCTGAAGACTATTCTGGAGACCAGTCTGAAGACTATTCTGGAGATTATTCTGAAGACCCGTCTGGAGACCACTCTGAAGACTATTCTGAAGAACTTGATTGTGTGGTTGGAGGATTTGGACCTGAGAGTGAGTTTGAAGCGTTTGCGACTGGAGAACTTGAGAATGTGACTGAAGAACTTGATGGGTTTGAAGTGTTTGCGATTGGAGCGTTTGTGACTGGAGGACTTGGGAGTGCGATTGGAGAACTTGAGAGTGGGACTGAACGGATTGGTGAGATTGATGGGATTGATGCGTTTGGTGAGTCTGATGCTGATGAGGCTGATGAGGCTGTGCGATCTGAAACTGATTGTACTGCTGAGAGGGTCCGGGTTGTCCGTATTGCGGCGATTGTTGCATCCAACCGTTCATCTGCGCGGGAATTTCGTTTGGACCATTATTGCTCCCGTTTGTATTTCCATTGTTATTCAAATTGGGAAATGAGGCAGTGTTGACGCTGTTCGGACTGGAATTATTGTTGGAAGTGTGGCTGGGATCGTCTCGAGATTGGAAGCCATGGAAGCCGGAGTCGCTGTCGTCGGCACTTTGGTTGAGAATTGAGGAGATTGAGGAGACACTCGGTCTGGCACTGCGGTCGCCGTCCGCTGGTCCTGCCATGTCCAGAGGAGAGGACGCTTCGTCTCCTCGTCTGCAAAAGAGAGAATTATTAACTATTTTTGTTATTTGTTCTTTTTTTTATTTTGTTATTTTGGTATTTGTTTTTTTGTTATTTTGTTATTTTGTTATTTTGTTATTCTGTTATTTTGTTTTTTTGTTATTTTGTTATTTTGTTATTTTGTTATTTTGTTATTCTGTTATTCTGTTATTCTGTTATTCTGTTATTCTGTTATTCTGTTATTCTGTTATTTTGTTATTTTCTCTAATTTGGCAGTAACTTTTTACGAAGGTGTTTTCAGCAAGAACGTCACAAAAATTTGATTTTCTTTTTCCCTGATTTCTGCAGACAAAATTTTGACTTTTTCCCAAAAGAATATTCTGATTTACTCAAAAAAATTAATAGAGACTGAAAAAACTTTTTTTTATTAAATTTATTTATGAATTTCTTTAATTGGAAAATTATTCGAAAACATCATAAACTTCTTTCTCAAATAAATATTTAATATTAAAAAGAATATTGATCGACTTCTTTTTCTTACCGTAACTTTATCAAAATTATTTTCATCATTTCAATTCAATTACAATTTTCCAGAATTTTTAACTAAAATTCTTCTTTAAATCAATTACTTTTAATAATTTTTAAAAAAAGATCTTTTAGAATTTACAAATCCATTTGTTTACACAATTCAATTTTACTTGAAATTTCATCGATTATTTTCAAAATTCAATTATTTCTAAAATTATTTGTAAAAATTATTTGTAACTTCTCCAAAATTCAATTATTTTTTTAAAAGTTTTTTTTACTAAAAGTCCTTTTTCAATCAATTATTCTTAATAATTAAATAATAATAATTGAATAATAATTATTAATAAATAAATAATTGAATTTTTATTTTTTCTCAAAATTGCAATTATTTGTAACTTCTCCAACATTCAATTACTTTATTTATAGAGCTTTTGACAAAATATTCATCTACAAATCAATTATTTTCAATAATAATTTAAATATATATTAAAAAATTTAACTAATTTCAGAAGAATTTCAATTTTTATCTGAAAATTGTACGAAAATTCAATTATTTAAATACATATGAAAAATTTATTGAATAATAAAAAAACGTTATAAAACGTTTCTTAAAATTAAAATTCTTTCGACGACTTGTAAAAAAAATTTTTAAAAATGATTGCCTTTTTCAAGAAATTTATTTAAAATTCTTTAAATAATTAAATTCAAGTGAAAAATTTTATTTTTTGTAGAAATAATTGAATTCAGGTGAAGAATTTTACAAAACCTTTTTAAATAATTCAATTGTCTGTCAAATTTGTATTATTTATGTAAATAATTGATTTTTGTTAATTATAAAGATAATTGAATTCTAGCTCAAGAAATTTATTAAAAGTTTTAATAATAATTGAATTTCTGCGAAGAATTTTCTTATTTATAATCAAAATTAAATTCTCGGTAAGAATTGTATTACAATTTTCAAAAATAATTGAATATCTACGAAGAATTTTATGAAATTTTTTGAAAATAATTGAATTTCTGCAAAGAATTTTTTTATTTTTGGAAATAATTAAATTTATTCGCAGAATTTTTTATTTAAAATAATAATGAATTTTTTGAAGAACTTTTATTTTGAAAGTCATGATAATAATTGAATTTTTGAAAAAAAAATTTGTTATTTTCAAAAATAATTGAATATCTGCAAAGAATATAACAAAATTTTTCAAAAATAATTGAATTTATATATTTCTACCTATATAAATTTTTTGAATAAATTTATAAAATTTTTTGAAAATAATTAAATTCTTGCTAAAAATATTGTTATTTTTGAAAATAATTGAATTTCAGCTAGGAAATTTATTAAAAGTTTCGTAATTAATTGAATTATTTAAAGCAATTTTATTGAAAATTATGTAAATAATTGAATTTAGGCAAAAAATTTTGTTATTTATAAAAATAATTGAATTCAAGCTTAGAAGTTTTCTAAAAGTTTTTGAAAATAATAATTGAATTCTAGCCAAGATTTTTATTAAAAGTTATAAAAATAATTGAATTACTGTGAAGAATTTTATGAAAATTTTTGAAAATAATTTAATTCTTTAGAGAAATTTTATTAAAATTTTTAAAAATAATTGAATTTTTGAAATGAGTTTTATTATTTTTTGGTAATAATTGATTTCTTGTAGTGAATATTGTTCTTTTTGAAAATAATTGAATTTTGCAATGACTTTTATTTTTTTTGGAAAAATAATTGAATTCTAGCGAAGAATTTGATTAAAATTGATGAAAATAATTGAATTTCTGGGAAGAATTTTATGAAAACTTTTGAAAATAATTTAATTTCTGTGAAGAATTTTATTACTTTTGAAAATAATTGAATTTTGCAGAGAATTTTATTAAAATTGATGAATAGAATTGAATTTGGGTGAAGAATTTTATGAAAATTTTTTAATTATTTGAATTTCTGCGAAGAATTTTATTGCTTTTGAAAATAATTGAATTTAGTAAAGAATTTTATTAAAATTGATGAAAATATATGAATTTTTGGAAAGAAATTTGTTCTTAAAAAATTAAATTAATTTTGGAATTTTCAAGTATATAATTATTCTTTAAATAATTTATAAGTAATATTTTTATGATAGTTCTTGAAGAATTAAGTTATCAAAATCCTAATGTGGGATCGGAAATTTCGGCTGAAATCGCGATTCGTTACCCAAGGGGGCCGATAGATTACGCCACAAAATTTAAAAATTGAGATTGCCTAATCTATCAACACACGATACAAATTTGAAGAATAATTCCCAAGAATAAACGGAGAGAATGGGCAAAAAAAAAATGTTTCTTCGGATCAATTTTCCCAGTGTGGAACTTGAGCTTTTGATGAAAAGGAAGCACAAGAATGCTAATTTGCCACGACAAGGGGTTCATTTGCCAGTTTGGAGAATTCTGTTTAACTTGAACTAAAGGTGCGAGAACAATTAGAACACAAGTTGAAACGGGAGTATAAGTTGGGAAATTCCAAAGTCGGCAAACAATTATCGTTCTTGGGTGAAAGTTTCGTGTGTTTATCCTAGGAATCAAGGGAGGGGGGAAAAGGATTTTCTCGAGAAGATGTCTCTCGAGGATTATACTTACGGATTGGGATCCTGAAGAAGTGAGGCAAGTGTTAATGCGTTCACCCATTGGTTCATGCTCTCTCGTGTCTCCGCCGCGAAATGGTAGGTTCTCATGTTCGCGTGCTCGGCCTTGAAAGCGAACTTCTTGTTAACTTTATCCTCCGGCCTGCAGACTGTCACCCTGTACGATGGCAGTAGAATCGAGCCAAGTAGTTTTTCCTCCTCGGGACCTGTAAACAGAAAATTCCACATAATTTTCCCAACTTTCAAAAATATTCCTAAAATAAACGAAATTTTTTTCTAATCCAGAAATAACAAAAAAAAAAAAAAAACAAAATAGAGAAAAACAAAATCAAAAAATAATAAATCTACCAAAAATTGCCAAACATAATTCTTTTTGGTTAAAAATGACTTAAAATTCATTTTTAAAAAATTACTAGTTTCATCTAGTAAATCAAAAATTTAAATTTAAATCAAAAATGTTTGGTTTGGCAATAAAAAAAAGCCTGAAGCAGAGTTGTCACAAAAATTTAATTTTGTCTTTCTCTGACTTTTCCCAGAATTGAAGGGCTACATAAAATAAGGGGACGAACGCGAGGCTTGGAAGGGATACTACCAGTCGGGTAGCAGTGACAAGCCTTGAGCCGCTCGCTGCTACCTGACTGATATTATCCCTTTCAACCAAGCGTTCGTCCCCTTATTTTATGTAGCCCTTCAATTCCAGACAAAATTTTGCCTTTTCCCCTGACGCTAAATAATATTTTAATTTGAAACCCTTACAAAATTCAATTATTTATAAAAATTCAGACTATAATGCTTTTAATATTCAGTTATTATCTGAAATTTTAACTGAAATTCATTTTTAAATCAATTTTTATTATAAAATTCTACGAGAATTCAATTTTTTAAATACAAAAATTGTTAGGATGTGCGAGTGAGTGTAGACGAATTTTATCGAAAGAAAGTATTTATTAAATGTATATTGAGATTAACAAATTACAAGGAATGTAGTTAAACACGAGGTGAATGAATAAACTGATCGGAAGATTCTTAATGTGTGAGTGTTTTAAGTGAAAGTAAAAGAAAGGCGATTAAAGCGCCACACTGAATCTGAATATTAAAGTTCTGAGTAAAAATGTCGTAAGAGCGCGAATTACAATTCCTAACAAAAATAAATACTTTATTGAATAATTAAATATTTCTTTAAAATTCAATTCTCATAAAGAATTTTATCAATTAATTTTCTAACAATAAATGAATTTTTTCGACAAATTTTCATAAAATTTTGAAGTTAAATTACATTATTCTAGAAATTTATTTGAAATTACAAAAAAAAAAAAAAAAAATTAAAATCCTGCGATGTGTTTAATTAATTGTGAAAATAATTCAATTTCTTTCAACGATTTTTATTAAAATTTTTACAAATAATTCAAATTCATCTCTGATATTTATTTTTTATAAAAATAATTGAATTTCTGCGAAAAATTTAATTACTATTTCTAATAATAATTGAATTTTTACAAAGATTTTTATTATTTATGAAAATAATTGAATTCTTGTAAAGAGTTTTATAAACCTTAATTTTTTAAATAATTGAATTTTTAGGAATAATTTTATTAAAATTTCAGAAAATAATTGAAATTCTGTTATGAGTTTTATTATTTATGAAAATAATTGAATTATTGCGAAGAAATTTATAAAAAATTTGTAAATAATTAAATTTCTACAATGAGTTTTAATATTTATAAGAATATTTGAATTTCTGAGAAGAATTTTATTATTTATGAAAATAATTGAATCGTTGCAACGAATTTCACTGAATTTTTTTCGAATAATTAAAAATCCTACAAAAAGTTTTATTATTTATGAAAATAATTGAATTCTTGTAAAGAATTTTTTTATTTATGGAAATAATTGAATTCTCGCAAAAAATTTTATTAATATTTTTAAAAATAATTGAAATTCTGCTGTGAGTTATATTTTTAATGAAAATAATTGAATTTTTGCTAAGAATTTCATTAATATTATTAAAAATAATTGAATTCCTTCGGAGCATTTTATTATTTCTAAAAATAATTGAATTCTCGTAAAGAATTTTATTAAATGTTTTTTAAATAATTGAAATTCTGATATGAGTTTTATTTTTTATGAAAATAATTGAATTTTTGTTATAAATTTCATTAATATTTCTAAAAAAAATAATTGAATTCACGCAAAGAATTTTATTAAATGTTTTTTAAATAATTGAAATTCTGATATGAGTTTTATTTTTTATGAAAATAATTGAATTTTTGTTATAAATTTCATTAATATTTCTAAAAAAAATAATTGAATTCCTTCGATGAATTTTATTATTTCTAAAAATAATTGAATTCACGCAAAGAATTTTATTAAATGTTTTTTAAATAATTGAAATTCTGCTATGAGTTTTATTTTTTATGAAAATAATTGAATTTTTGTTATAAATTTCATTAATATTTCTAAAAATAATGAAATTCCTTCGAAGAATTTTATTATTTATGAAAATAATTGAATTTTTGTGAAGAATTATATTAAAATTTTTGTAATTAATTGAATCCCTGTAAAAAAAATTATTATTTATGAAAATAATTGAATTATTGCGAAGAAATTTATAAAAAAAAAAAATTGTAAATAATTGAATTTCTGCTAAGAATTTTGTTATGTATGAAGATAATTGAATTGTGACCAAGAATATTATAAAAAATTTGAATAATAATTGAATTCTAGCGAAGAAATTTGTTATTTAATAAAATAATTGAATTCCTGTGAAATTTTTATTATTCAAGAAAATAATTGAATGTTTGCGTAGAATTTTATCAAAATTTTTTTTAAAAAAATTTAATTGTTTTGGAAAATTTTATTAAAATAGTAGATATTGAAAATCTTTGAATTAAGGAAAATTTTCCAGTACGTTTTATAGGAATCCTTGACTTTTTCCTGATTTTCCTGACCAATTCTACTTTCCTTGTCTTTTCCCTGATTTCCCTAACCAATTCTACTCTTCCTGACTTTTTCCTGAATTCCCTGACTTTCCTGTAGTGTGGCAACCCTGTAGAGGAAAAAATAGAGCGCAATAACTAGAGGAAAATAATATTATAGAAATGAGATATTACTTGAGGAGAGGAGAAAAGATAAACCAGCAGTGAAGTTAAGTAGCGTTTCGGGAAAAGTTGAACAGAGTTTGAAGAAAAACAAGATGAGTAAAAACGGATGCGAGAGAGAAAGAGAGAGGAAGAGAGTTGGCGTTTCCCTTTAAAGTTTGGCTCGTAAGTTTCGTAGGCTTGTAAATATTTAACCCTCGACGAAAGCTCGTCTACTACGCTTGGAAGCTAAGGAAAGTCAAGGTGAGGTGCTTTTGCATCTCAGTCATTAGCGATGCAGATGTTCATGGAAGCGAATATCTTTTAAGGCTTCTCATAGTAGAAGCTTTATTAATAAACTTCAACCCAGAGCGCGTGTATGTATCCTTTGTGTGACTCTGTAGAAATTTTCAAATTTTCAAATTTTCGCCTCTATACATTCACTCACTACTACGACAAACAACTAATAATATTATATGGTTGAAAATAAAGTCTAAAAGCCTATTTTTACCGATATTCATTGGAAAATGGAAACGCTTCCTCAAATTCTTAGTTTGCTGATTTTTTAAGTTTGCATGCAAACTTAAAAACTCACAGGGCTCGGATCGTCTTTAAGACTCAAAAAAAGTCGCTTTAGTCGCATAAATTTACAACAAAAGTCACAAAAAGTCGCATAAAATTTCCAAAAAAAAGTCGGAAAAAAGTCGCATGAAATTTTAGAAAAAACGACAAAAAGGAAACATGAAATTGTCAAAATTGTAAAAAAAAATCACATTTCTCAACAACAGATACATTAATATCAAACAATCCGATATAAAATTTTAAAAAATAAAATAAAATTCATAGCAAAATTTTAATTAGTTAATTTTAACATTTTTTTAAAAAAAAATTCTCTTTAACATATCAATTATTTTTATAAATAATGAAATTCTTCTCCGTAATTCAATTATTTAAACAAAAATTTAATAAAATTCTTGTCAAAATTTCAATTATCTTTATAAATAATAAAATTCTTCTTTAAAATTCAATTATTTTCAAAAGTAATAATATTCTTCGCAGAAATTCAATTATATTCAAAAACTATTTTAAATTTTTCCTCAAAATTTTATAAATAATAAAATTCATCATAAAAATTTAATTGTTTTTTTTAAAGTTCTGATAAAATTCTTTGCAAAATTCAATTATCTTCAAAAATAATACAATTCTTTACAGAAATTCAATTATTTTCAAAATTTTTTTTTAAATTCTCCTCAAAAATTCAATTATATTTATAAATATCAAAATTCTTCTGCAAAATTCAATTATTTGCAAAGAATTTTAATAAAATTCTTGTCAAAATTTTTAATTATCTTTATAAATAATAAAATTCATCCTAGAAATTCAATTATTTTTAAAAGTATTAAAATTCTTCGCAAAAACTCAATTACATATTTTCACAAATTTGAAATAAAATTCTTCTTATGAATTCAATTATTTTGAAATATTAATAAAAATATTTGCAATAATTCAATTATTTTAAAAACGTTTATTAAAATTTTACCCAGAAATTCAATTATCTGCCAAAATTACTAACATTATTCACAGGAATGCAAATATTTTTTAAAATTAATAAAATTTTTTACAAGAATTTAATTATTTTTAAAAAAAACTTTAAAATTCTTGGCAGTATTTTTTTTTTTATAAATTAATAAAATTCTTGAAAGGAATTGAAATATTTTCAAAAAATAATTGAACTCTTCGCATGACATCAATTATTTTCGAAAATTCATCAAATTTATCGTAAGAATTCAATTATTTTCAATTATTACTAAAATTCTTCTCAAGAAATTCAATTTATTTTGAAAAATTTTGATTAAATTAATGATAAGAATTGAATTATTTTGAATACAAAATTTTAATTAAATTTCATTGAAAACATTTAATTACTTTCAAAAATTTTAAATCAATTCTCTACAAGATTTCAATTATTTTTATAATGAACAAAATTTTCTTCGCGGAAGTTTAATTATTTTAAGGAATTTTAATAAAATTCTTCGCAAAAATTTAATTGAATTTTCGACAGGAAATAAATTTTTTTTCAATTATTAATAAAAATCTTTGCAAGAATTCAATTAGTTTCATAACTTTTAATAAAATTTTCGGCAAAAATTCAATTATTTTCAAAAGTAATAAAATTCTTCGCAGAAATTCAATTATTTTCAGAACTTTTTTTTAAATTCTCCTTAAAATTTCAATTATCTTTTGTAAATATCAACATTATTCTACAAAATTCAATTACTTACTAATGTTTTATAAATTTGTTCCCAATAATTCAATTATTTGCATAAAAAATAATTTAAAAATATTTTTTTTTTATAAAGTCTTACAATAATAATTATAATGATTTTATCACTCGGTCATGTTTTATAATCAATTTTTTATAAGTTGTTTAATTTCAAAAAGTTTTGAATTTGAATGTTTGGAAGGATTTTAATTCCTATGGAAAAATTATAATTAAATATTTATTTAAAAAAGAAGTTATTGATGTTTTCGAAAAATTTGAAAGAAATTTGTAAATAAATAAATGTAACAGAACATTTTTTTTGACTCAAACTTTTTACTTTAAGTTTAACAAAATTTTTTAAATTTCATTTTTTTACAAATCTCGAAAAAGTCGATTAGTCGCATTTTTTCACAAAAAAGTCGAAAAAAGTCACATTTCCTTAGAAAAGTTGAAAAAATTCGAAAAAGTCTCACAATCCGAGCCCTGAACTCATGAAACTAAGAATTTGAGGAAGCTAAGATAATTTAGGAAAAACTGAGAATTTAAAAAAAACGTTCCAATTAATATCAATAAAAATAAGTTAATAAATAAAATTGATTAATATCAATAATAATTTGAGGAAGCGTTGAATGCATTCATTGGGAATGAAAAAAATAGAAAAGAAGCGTCTCTAAGAATTGAAGAAAGAGAAACGTGGACTGGTATAAATATTAGGTCAATTAAATACAAAGAGAGTCGAACATCAAAGGAGTTTGGATATTTGAGACTCGAATGGAAAAAAGAGGGAATCTTTATACACTTTTATGTTATCCTTCTAGCGCGTGTGTATAGCTTTTACTTTCAGAAACATTGATTCATCAAAAGGATAGAGGTACTTTTTTAAAACTCTAACGAGAGCACAGGTGAATGGATCGAACAAAAAAAAAAAAAGAAGAAGAAGCTTTGGAAAGCTCGCTTCGGGCGCAAAAGTGTGGGCTTTCGAGTGATCTGCATTATTAAAGGGCTTCAGCAGTCGTCTGCTTTCCTCCTTTTACCCCCACAACATATAGGTACTTATTCTGCTTGCACTTCGAAGCGAGAACTTTGTGAACGTTCTCTATAAATTTTTCAAAACATAACTTACATAATGGAAAATGAATATTAATAGATTAATATTCGTTATTTCATCCGCCTTTCTTAATTTTTTTTCAATTTTTCAAAACTTTTACTTTCTATCAAATAACTTTTCTTACTTTCAAGTTTTAATAGTTTCGCACTCATAAAAAAACTACAATTAACTTCTTTTTCCATAACGCAATCATAAAAATATTTGGTAACATTTTTTGCGCATTTACTAAAAGATACATACTGTTTTCTTTTTTTCACAATTTTCATTAGTTTAAATTCCCTGACAGTTGAAATCAAAAAATTAAAATTAAAAATTCTCAGAAACATTTCAAGAAATAGAAAAGAAAGAATTTAATAAAATTCTTTGAAATGATTTAATTATTTTCAAAACAGCTTCGAAATTCAATTTTAAACCTTTTTGGAACATTAAGAGAGCAGGAGAAAGAGAGGTCGAGCAAAAAGAGAAAAAAATTTGTAGATTTAGATCCAATTTAAAGAAGGATTTCTCAAAAATTGCAAAGTTTTCAAATTTTTAATAAATCCTCTCCCGGGGGGAAATAATTTTCGAATTCTAATGAAGAGCCCTATATGTCATCATAGGGCTTAAAATTGCGGAAAGTTGGGAAAATTTGGTACTAAATTCAAAACTCAAGAGAGAACATTCAAAAGGAGTACAAACGAGAGATGCATAAGTTGCGAGTAATTTAAAGGAAGTTGGCTAAAACTAGCTTTAAGATCTCGTTCCCAGCAGATGTCGTCAACGGCGTGTTGTAATTTGCTCGAACAACGCTACATCAGAAAACTGGTTCAATTACTGTCCGCACAAAGCCAACAAATTTTTTTTCCCTTTTTCGATGCATTTTTCTACTATTGACTTGCAAGTTGCAACTATAGATATTTTAGCTAGTTTAGTTAAAAATTGTAGAAAATAATTGAATTTTTGTATTTTAAATTCTAAATAATTTAATTCTCGTAGAACTTTAGGAAAATTATTAAAATTAATTGATTTAGAGATAAGGTTTAATGAAAAATTGAAGAAAATAATTGAATTTTGGAGAAGTTACAAAATAATTGCAAAAATTCAATTATTTTCAAAAGTGATAAAAATCTTCGCAAAAATTCAATTAAGTTTAAAATTTTTGAAAAATTATCGTCAAAATTTCAATAATATTTACAAATAATAAAATTCTTCTTCAAAATTCAATTATTTTCATAAATTTTATTAAAATTCTTGGCAAGAATTCAATTATTTTTTCAAAAATTTTATAATATTCTTGGCCACAATTCAATTATTTTCATAAATAACAAATTTCTTCAGTAGAATTCAAATTAATTCAATTATTTTCAAAAAAAATTTCATAATAAAATTCATCGAAGAAATTCAATTATTTTTAGAAATATTAACGAAATTTTTAGCAAAAATTCAATTATTTTCATAAAAAATAAAACTCATAGCAGAATTTCAATTATTTTTGAAAATTTTAATAAAATTCTTGGCGAAAATTCAATTATTTTCAGAAATAATAAAATTCATCGAAGGAATTCAATTATTTTTAGAAATATTAATGAAATTTATAACAAAAATTCAATTATTTTCATAAAAAATAAAACTCATAGCAGAATTTCAATTATTTAAAAAACATTTAATAAAATTCTTTGCGTGAATTCAATTATTTTTAGAAATAATAAAATTCATCGAAGGAATTCAATTATTTTTAGAAATATTAATGAAATTTATAACAAAAATTCAATTATTTTCATAAAAAATAAAACTCATAGCAGAATTTCAATTATTTAAAAAACATTTAATAAAATTCTTTACGAGAATTCAATTATTTTTAGAAATAATAAAATTCTCCGAAGGAATTCAATTATTTTTAATAATATTAATGAAATTCTTAGCAAAAATTCAATTATTTTCATTAAAAATATAACTCACAGCAGAATTTCAATTATTTTTAAAAATATTAATAAAATTTTTTGCGAGAATTCAATTATTTCCATAAATAAAAAAATTCTTCAAAAAAATTCAATTATTTTTTAGAATATTAATGAAATTCTTAACAAATATTCAATTATTTTCATAAAAAACAAAACTCACAGCAGAATTTTAATTATTTTTGAAAATTTTTAATAATAAAATTCTTCGAAGGAATTCAATTATTTTTAGAAATAATAATGAAATTTTTTAGCAAAAATTCAATTATTTTCTTAAAAAATAAAATTCTTCATAGGATTTCAATTATTTAAAAAAATTTAATAAAATTCTTCGCGAGAATTCAATTATTTTCTTAAATAATAAAATTCATCGAAAGAATTCAATTATTTTTGTAAATAATAAAAGTTTTTTCAAGAATTCAATTACCTTCCTAAATAATTAAACTCATCTCAGAATTTTAGCGTTCATTTTTTTTAGAAATATAATTGAATTTAGAAAAGGTTTCAAGTTAAAATCTTTGAAATTTCGAAAAATTTATTTAAAAAAAATCAATTCTGTAGAATTGATTTTTTTTAAATAGTTTAATTGAATTGTTTTCGAAATTATTTGAAATTTTTATCTTCTAATATAATAATTGAAGAATTTCCGATTAATCTAAATTCTAAATTTCGTAAAATTGAATTGTAAACAAATAGACTTGAAAATTTGCAAAAGAAAACTTTTTTAAAAATTATTAAAAAATAGTTCATTTAAAGAAGAATTTATGTTAAAAATTCTATAAAATAATAATTGAATTGAATTGAAATGATGAAAATAATTTTGAATAAGTTACTCTATAGAAATATTTCGGGAAAAAAAACTCACCTTTGTAATAAAAGAGGCAATATTCGGAGAGGACGAACCATCGTTTCTTCCAGAGCATGAGGCCCTCGGATCCCTGTTTGTAGAGCCATCCCTGAAGAGCGACGGGGGCAGAAAGTGGCCTTTTTGCCGCAGGTGATCTAAGACCCTGTGGACCACTTTTCCTCCGCACCCCCGATATCGCCGAAGTCCCATCGCCTCCTCCTCCTCCTCCGCCCTTAATTCGCACCTGGCCCGATGCAGGCGACGAGGACGCCTGGACATTCTGCAACTAAAAAGTTTTTTCCTCTCTTAATAAAATCTCTATTTAAATCTAGTTTTCATTTTCCCAGGAAATTAAAAAATCAAACTTAAAGTTTTTACTGAAATTAAATATTCTCACAATAACATTTGTCTTCAGTTTAAAAAATCAGTCATTTCAGTCATTTTTGATAAAAAAATAAAAAATTTCAGTTACTTTTGATAAAAATAAAAGAATTTCAGTCATTTTTGATAAAAAATAAAATAATTTCAGTCATTTTTGATGAGAATGTAAAAATTTGTTAAAATAGTGGTTGAAGTTCTCCACTTGAGAACGCCAAGGTCACCACCAGGTGGCAAGAGAAATTCCAAGAATCTCAACTGCCACCTAGCGGTGACCTTGGCGTTCGCAGGTGGAGAACAGCGTCTCCATATTGAATCTCAATTTATTCGTTAATATTCGTATTTTTATTATTTACGATCAGAATCTAGAGAGTTAATAAATAGATTAATTTTTTTAATCTAGAGAGTTAATAGTGGTATAGAAAAAAAATTCTTAAAAAATCTATCAAAGCACATGGCGTGAATCACGGAATGAAAGGTCAATAAGTGGTAATTGAAACAAGCAAAAAAAAATTGAAAGGTTTCTTCGAAAGTCAAAAGTAGCGTTGCAATTTTCATTTCCTATCACCTATAGTCGATCGAATCGTATAACTACCACAGTGAGAGATTGAGTTATACGAGACTTTTACTTTATCTTTCGATTTCTCTCTCTCTCTCTCTAGACGCACAATAAAACGATCTCATCCCATCCCCAGCCTCAAGAATATCTTATCTTCCTCCATTTCCTTCATTGGTTCCCTCGATTCCTCTCATAACGGTCTGTCAAACGAGAATGTCGGTAATTCGATGGATTAGGTTAGGTTAGACTTTGCAGCGTATAGACCACGGAAACGATTGGTTGGCTTGATTGCAAAATCGATTCCCGTCTACCTATCTGTCTATCAATCTGTCTCTTAACACGCGCCCCAGTTATAAGCTAGACAATGCCCTTTATCTCCGATCATAAATTTCCCTAATCGTAGGTATTCATCCAGGGTATGAAAAAACTTGCCCAAGAATTCCGCCTCTCTCTCTCTCTCTCTCTCTCTCTCTTTTTTTTTTTTTCATAAATTAAAAAGTGCACCAGACGTGTTAAAAAAAAATTGATAATTATTTTTTGTTGCATTTTATTTCAAGTCGCAGTTTTTTCTAAGGATTTCAATATTTTTCAAAAGTATTTTACTTTTGATCAATTAACTTTTCTTGCTTTTTTAATAAAATTTCCACAGGAATAATTCAATTATCTAAAAAAACAATTACAAAAAAAAAATTTGTTTTCAAAAAATTTTCGACAAATTTAATTATTTATAAAAGTTTTTCTAATAATCTCTGCAAGAATTCAATTATTTCTACAAATAATAAAAACTTCTTAGGAATTCAATTCTTTTCAATACAATTTTAATAAAATACCTCAACAAGATTCAATTATTTTTTAAAATTTTAATAAAATTCTCCGTTAGAATTCAATTATTTTCAAAAATAACAAAACTTTTCACAGAAATTCAATTGCTTTATAAAAATTTTTCTCAATAATTCAATTATTTTTTTACATAACAAAATTCTTCTAGAGAATTCAATTATATTCAATATACAATTTTAATAAAACTTCTCGACAAGATTCAATTATTTTTTAAAATTTTAATAAAATTCTCCGTTAGAATTCAATTATTTTCAAAATTTTTTTAAAAATTCTTTGCAAAATTCAATTATTTTCAAAAATAACAAAACTTTTTACAGAAATTCAATTGTTTTATAAAATTTTTTTCGCAATAATTCAATTATTTTTCTAAATAACAAAATTCTTCTTGAGAATTCAATTATATTCAATACAATTTTAATAAAACTTCTCGACAAGATTAAATTATTTTTTTAAATTTTAATAAAATTCTCCGTTAGAATTCAATTATTTTCAAAATTTTTTTAAAAATTCTTTCCAAAATTCAATTATTTTTAAAAATAACAATACTTTTCACAGAAATTCAATTGTTTTATAAAATTTTTTCGCAATAATTCAATTATTTTTCTAAATAACAAAATTCTTCTTGAGAATTCAATTATATTCAATACAATTTTAATAAAACTTCTCGACAAGATTAAATTATTTTTTTAAATTTTAATAAAATTCTCCGTTAGAATTCAATTATTTTCAAAATTTTTTTAAAAATTCTTTCCAAAATTCAATTATTTTTAAAAATAACAATACTTTTCACAGAAATTCAATTGTTTTATAAAATTTTTTCGCAATAATTCAATTATTTTTCTAAATAACAAAATTCTTCTTGAGAATTCAATTATATTCAATACAATTTTAATAAAACTTCTCGACAAGATTCAATTATTTTTTTTTATTTGAATAAAATTCTCCGTTAGAATTCAATTATTTAAAAAAATTTATGATAACATTCTTTATAAAGAATTCATTTATATTTATAAATCATAAAAGTTTTTACAGAAATTCAATTATTTTAAAAATTTCCATAAAATTCGTTGCAAGAATTCAATTATTTTTCTAAAATTATTTGATTTACAATTATTTTTCAAATATATTATCTTCATAAAATTACCAAAAATAATTTAATTATTTAATAACAATTTAGATAAAATTCTTTGCAAACATTAAATTTATATTCATAGATTATAAAATTTCCACATGAATTCAATTATTTACAAATTTTTTTTTATAAATTTCTTCGCAATAATTCAATTATTTTCATAAATAATAAAATAATAATAAGTCAGGAATTGAATTATTTATTGAACATTTCAATAAAATTCGTTGCAAGAATTCAATTATTTTTATTAAATTTTAATAAAATTCTCCGGCAGAATTCAATTATTTCCAAAAATTTTATTACAATTCTTGACAAAAATCCAATTATTTTAATAAATAACAAAATTCTTCTCTGAAATTCAATTATTTTAAAAAATGTTATTAAGATTCTTGGCAGAAATTCAATTATATTTAAAAATAACAAATTTCTCCGATAGAATTAAATTATTTTCAACAATTTTGATAAAATTCTTTATAATGATTTCAATTAGTTTCAAACAAATTTTACATTAATTCCATTAAAGAATTTAATAATTTTCAAAAATTTTAATATAATTTTGGGCTGAAGTTCTATTATTTTAGAAATTTTATTAAAATTCTTGGCAAGCATTAAATTATTTTAATAAATAACAAAATTCTTTCCTGGAATTTAATTATTTTCAAAAATTTTATTAAAATTCTTGTCAAAAATTCAATTATTTTCAAAAATTTTATGAAATTCAATAATTTTCAGAAATAATAAAATTTCCACAGGAATTCAATTATTTAAAATACAATTTTCATTAAATTTTCAAAAAATATCAATTATTTAAAAAAGTTTGTATAATATTCATTGTATGAATTCAATTATTTCGAATAAATATTAAAAACATCGCAGGAATTCAATTATTTTTATTTAACTTTTTTTTATTTCTATTTAACTTTTTTATTTAACTAAATTTCTATTTATCTTAAAAAATATAATGTAATTTCTTGCAATAATTCAATTATTTCCATAATTATTGAAATTCTTTGGAAAAATTCAATTATTTTCAACAATTTTAAATAAAATTTGTCCCAAGAATTCAATTATTATCAAAATTTATAATGAAATTCTTCGAAAAATTCAATTATCTAAAAAAATGTTTATAAAATTCTTTGCAAGAATTCAATTATTTTCGTAAAGTTCAATTATTTCCATGATTTTTTAGAAATATTAATGAAATTTTTCGCGAAAATTCAATTATTTAAAAAAAATTTAGTTTTAAAGTTTTAAACAAATTTTAATTGAGTTCTATTAAAGAATTGAATATATGTTCAAAAATGTAATATAATTTTAAACTGAAATTAAATTATTTTTAAAAATTTTATTAAAATTATTGGCAAGCATTCAATTATTTAAATAAATAACAAAATTCTTTGTTGGAATTTAATTATTTTCATAAATTTTCTTAATATTCTGTACAAAAAATCAATTATTTTCAAAAATTTTTTCAATTATTTTCAGAAATAATAAAATTTCCACAGGAATTCAATTATTTAAAATACAATTTTCATTAAATTTTCGAAAAATATCAATTATTTAAAATAGTTTGTATAATATTCGTCGTGTGAGAATTCAATTATTTCGAATAAATAATAAGAAAATCTCAGTAATTCAATTATTTTTATTTTATAACTCAACAATTTTAAATAAAATTTGTCCCAAGAATTCAATTATTGTCCAAATGTTTAATGAAATTCTTCGCAAAAATTCAATAATTATCTAAGAAAAAATGTTTATAAAATAATTCTTCGCAAAAATTCAATTATTTTCGTAAATTTCAATTATTTAAAATTTTAAATTATTTTAATTATTTTTTAGAAATATGAATGAAAATTTTTCGCAGAAATTCAATTATTTAAAAAAAATTGTAATATTCACAATATTCCATCTCTATGCTTTATTTTACATTTCATTATTTTACCGGAATATTTTTTCAAGATAAATTATTAAAAAGGAAACGGAAATATTTGAAAAAAGTATAGTCTCCTCTTGGATTAAATTTACTCGCGAGCAGTGTGTTTGTCAAAGAAATGTTAAAATAATATTTAGTTTCCAAGCATGTTGAAATTAATGTATATGTATAGCTTACTGCATAAATTTGAAGAAATAATTTCCTAAGGAAATTGTGAAAAATGATGCTTTGTCCTTTTTGATATTCGCCCCTTTTGACCCCAGGTCTTGTGTGTGTGTGTGTGTGTGTGTGGGGGGGGGGGGGACGGGTATAATATGAGATAGTGGAACATGAACTAGGATGCACTCTATGAACTTGTTGCTTACACTAAACCTATAAAATATACACACATGTATTTAGGACTTGGTGTGCGTATACAAAATCTCATTATAATGATGAACG